CTCTCTCAGGTTAATTTAATTTCTAAAGAGAATCATGTACAAGTCAATCTGTTTCCCCTGATCCATTCATTGTTCCAAGAATCTATTCACCCTCCCTAGTAACCATTTGTTGCCACTCAACAGAATTACCTATATTCCTCATCCTTCCCTTCCCTCTAAAATGAGGGTATATAAACTCTGGACCCCACTAGCATATTGAGTAATCACTTTGTGATTCTCCCCATGTGCACAGAACATAAATTTGTCATCTCTTTCTCTTATTAATCTGCCTTATTGTGAGTTGATCTTTTCAGGGAAACTTCCAGGGGTGAAGGGAATGTTTTCCTTCTCTCCCAGTTTAAAATACAAAACAAAATCAGAAAATGTACAGTTATGTAAAATATTTATATGCAGAATTTAAAGGTTTTTTATGTATAAATCTCATGACTGGTAAAGCCACATACATTAGGTAAGTCTTTCAAACACAGGCAAATAATAACATTTAAAAATTTCGCAGCGTGACATATTGTACATACTATGTAGTGTTCTGATTTTTTTCTTTGTGGTATCATATTATATAACTCAAAGTAACAAGTATGCTGTAAACCAAATCTAGTCTTCTTGTCTCAACATACTTGCCCAAGGAGGAATTTCAGTAGCCAATTCAAGTTACATCTGTGACCATGCCACAAAACAGAAGATTAAATTAGAATGTATTTCCACTTTTGAAACATCTGACCCCTTCAGTATTACTGCACTTTTTTCCTTTGCATAAAATCAATTAAGAAAAAATATGATGGTCACTGATGGCTTTGTGAAGTTAAAGGCAACTCTGAGCATGTGTGCTTTTGCAATTCAATGTTAGTTTCTTCTCTTCCATAAACACTTAATGGAAGGGACAATCAAATAAAACTTTTTTGGGGGAAAAGGTAATTCTCTCAGGAGCATGCCGAATGAATTCAGGTGGGAAGATGCTTATGTGAGAGCAACAATATATGTTGCTCAATATATATGAGGCTCAATATATGATGCTCAATATATACATATGATGCTTACTATATATATATATGTATATATATATATATATGATGCTCAATATATGTTGCTCAATATATATGACTCAGTTACTGAGTCATTCTTCAGTATCTCAAATTCTCTTGATACATTGCTACCATCCTTGTATTTATGTCCACTAAATATGCTAAAATAGTAGGCACTTTAGAAATGTAATTAAGCAAATCAAATTACCTTCAGGTGTTAGCACTTAAATTCTAACTCTTTCTTTCCCTTGCAGAGGCAGGGAGGAGGTTGGCGAGCATAAGAACACATGGAAATAGTTATGTTCCATTTTACTTAAGTATGAATGTGTTGGTTGAACTAATTTTTCAGTTCATAGAAATAATACTGACCACCCCCAGTTCTCCACCTTACCTCCAACCAAGGGAGAAAAAAACTTACTTTAAAACAGAACATTTTTGAATAAATTGCATTTCTTATTTTAGTTGAGCTTCAGCAAATTAGTGACTTGCCCTAAAAAACAAACTATCATTTTTATATACAGTGATTAAAAGTAGGTATTTCTAAATATCCCCTCCTGAAAACTCACCTTGAGACCACAAAAAAAACTTCTATTCTACCACTCATTCAAAGGAACAGTCTACCCTCGATTGATTAAATAAATAACTTTTCTATCAGTAGTGGCTTAAATAACTGTTTAGTGAACCACGAAGCCATGGGCAAATGAGGTTTGCACTAATTACATACTGAAGAAAACCTCATTCTGTAATGAATTTTATGTTAATTGTTATGCTGTTTTTATATCAGCTGACAATCAAAACCAAAGTGACCTGTTTCTCACTATTCCAATAATAAAGAACAGCCTTTGACAAACATCCTATTTCTTCTCTGCAAACAATGCAAACACCACACATGCAAAGTTTCAAGCAATGATTAGACGTTTAGCTGCCTGCTGTGGCTTCAAGACAAATGGCTCACTTAGATTGCTTCTCAAAGTGCAGTGAATGAAATTAGCCCTCTGAGAGGAAGCTGGCCACAAAGTTTTTCTAACACAATGTAAAAGTCAATTTGTGCCAAAAGGCCCTAGTTGAGGAAGGGTGAAGGAGGTGTCACTCGAAGGTCAAAAATAACCATTTATTTTGGTCAAAATAAATTACTTTTTCAGGTGAAAGAGTTCCACAAATATGGCAAGCTGTTCTGGTTTTTCACACATGATGTGAATTTTTGAAAGAAAATTTTTCTTGAAGAATTTTTAGTAAAGAAAGTTTATGAGAGCAGAAAAACTGAAGTACTTAAGACAGAATAGCAATAATTTTACCCAGGAATGTGACATGGTGTTTCCTGCCATTAACACTACTTCTGTCCAAAATGTTCTCCATATTGGGGATATGTTTGTTAGTTCCACAACTACCAATTTCCAGTTGGCAAACATCCCTGCATTCACATTACTTATGATAGACCTACATACCGGCTTGAAGAGACATCATGACAGATAATCCCAAATATTTTTTTATCACCTCACTAAAAACACTAATCTACCTTCTGTCTCTATGGATTTATCTATTCTGGATATTCCTTATAAATTGAATCACATTTAAAAAACCTGAAGTTCTCTATAACATTTTAACAATAATACTTTGCATTTAGAAGAATTTTCACATTTAAAAGGCCTATATCATGCATATTTGGTAATGGAATTCTCACAGGGTTTTCAATACAAAATGCTAACAACAGGGCAATAGAAAATAGTCATGACAGGTTTTCTCTATCAACACTTAACACAACTGAGTGTTTATCACAAGCAAGTGCTGTGCCAGATGCTAGGGGTGTGAGAATCAATATGCATCCCATCCTCAAGGGGGCAGAGTGACTAATCCTGTAGAGAAGGTGAAATATGTGTACCAGTCTTTGGGGTACTAGGGAGGACTTACCTGAAAGGGGATAGAATTGTACAAACAGATTATGTTGCTCAAGAATTTTCCCTCTCTTACCCACTTGCGTTTTTCAAGTGGTTTTTATGACCTATACCAGGAAGGTTTCTTGTTGATTCTCCCATTCTGCTAATGAAGAGCCTCCTCCCAATGAGACAGAAACTCATAAATAAGGGGCATGAAAAGGATTTCCACTTTTCTGGCCATTAATACTAGTAGCGACTCATGTTTGAACTCTTCCCCTAGACAAACACAGAGATTGTGGTGATTCATCTTTTAATGTCTACTTAGAAAACAAAGTTACACTTTTAAAGTTTCATTTCTGTGGGCCAAATGAGGTCCTCAGATATGGAGACACACCTTTCGCAGAAATCGTTAAAATTTTACAAAATTATTAGGAGGCTGAATTAACGTCTGGTATTTACGATGCTTTTATCTTTTCTTTTCCCTCTCATATTCTTGGACCACCTCAACTGTGAGTACTTGTATTGGTGGGCAATTCCTCTTTCAAGTTAAATGCCTCCCCCTACTCAATTACTATGACCTCAGCACACTTGGGGAAACCTGGCAGCATGCACAGTTTTCATTATGATGAAAATCAATGTAATACAAGGTAATAATAATGTTTGTGATGAACTGCAATGCCTCGCAAGTGACAAAAATTGTTTTTAGTGGAACTACTACGACAATTCCATTGTGTTCATAATTAGCTCATATTTTTCAATTTCCTTTATGGTGAAAATGATGTAATAATTAGACTAACTTATGAAGTTGTCAGGTAGTATCTACATAGCAGCACTTGCCAGGACTTTGCAATCAACCAAATGCAATGTAAGCTAACATATTTCAGATTTTCGTAACACCAAAAGGGACAAAATTAAATATAATTGTAAGATATTATTCACAGGAAGGAGTAATAAAACTTAGGTGGCAATATGTATGTTCATAATAGATCACAAAGAAAGCTATGAGTAAACAAGAATGGTTTAAAAGATAGGCTTTGCATTATCAGAGCTTACTGAAGAAAAAAAGTATGTATGAATGAACCACATGAAAAATATTATGGTATCCTTGGGAACCTCCACCACCACTCCTGCCCATGCTGGGGCACAAGTTTTGAGAAGGATGTGAATGCCCACTATGGAAAAGAGATGGCCTATGAATGACTACCGAGAGAGCCAATTTACTCAGTGTCTGAAAGAATATATGAGATAAATAAGCAAAACATACCCTCTCAAGAGAGGGCAACAGGGAGGCAGGATAGAAAAGGTAGAAATAAAGCCACTTGTGTGTTTGCTGTGGAAGTATTCTGAGGCATTCTTTTCTGTGATCCTACCACTTTATAGTTGGACAAGAAACCCACTGGCTTGTGCACACAGTATGCTCTAATTCCAATATGAGTACTTCTGAGCACAAGGTAATCACCATACAGAGTCACATTTAGAACTTTCAGAAGTTTTCCATCCAATTCTCACAATGAAGTACAAATTACAAATCACAGTTTGATTTGCAAGTAGAGAGAGGCCTGTATCTTGACATCTCCAGACAACTATACTATTGTTTTCATTTGAGAGCTCATTTTCTAGACTTTTTTTTTTTCCAAAGCCACCACCACAGAAACAAACTTTCATAAAATAAATATGACTAACACTTTGAAGTAAAAATATCCACAAAGAAGCCAGGATTGGAAGATGGTGGAATTTCTACTGACCCGTAAAACAATCTGGGCTTTACATATAAATCTCCTTTTTTCTTCGCTCATTTAAATTATTACCATTTCATGTTCAGACTCGCTGGCAAAACATCAGTTATTTTAATGTGAATCCTCCACATGCTGCCCCAAACAAACTTTAACGCTCGAGTAAAATGTTTAAAACTTGCCAGACCCAGAAGAGTCAGAACGTTGCCCTGTAACCGTCCATCCACTGCCCTATCGCTTTGCCTCCTCCTCCTCTCAGAGACATGAGAAAACAGCATCGAAACCTCTTCAGATTTGCTAAAAACCACCACAAGTAGGAAGCAGCCATTGAATCCCTGTGTTTCTATGAATAAATAGAAGAAGAGACACTGTACCAAGTCTTCAGTTTTGTGACTATTCAAGAGGTCAGACAGGAAATCTTCATGAAGGCTCTCTCTTCGAATCAGTGTAAATTCCCGCAGGAAAACAGCCCCTTGGCTCTGGTCTCCGCATACCTAGAGAGATAAGGAAGCTGAATTAAGCCTTCAGACAGAGCCTGGTGGGAGGGGGCACTGAGGGATTAGTTACAGAAACCCCTTGGATTCATTTCAAGTCTGATTAGAGCAATCAAAAACAACACACTCAAATACATATTAATGCGAGAACCACTAGAACATTCTGGCATGTGGCTCCTCGGATAGATGCCAGGAAAGTCTCCTGCTAAGTTGGTGACTCTTAACTGACGGCTATACAATGTTGAAATTCAGTGATTATAGGTTATCTTTGTGGCCAGGTCCAGTGTGGTCAGGCTCCTAGACTCATTCCACTGGGCTATCCATGTGTATGTACCCACGTAGGGGTCTTGGACCCACAGGGACCTATCCTCAGTCCAGTAGAGCTGAGCACCTACATGGGTCTTGATGTCCTATTAAATGTCTACCAGATAAGGAAGACCTGGCCTGAGCCCAGAACTGACTTCCTGAGCTATTCAAGTGCTTTAGAACCAGATGTACTGTAGCTGCTCTGGAAGAGAGTACTGGAGAACTTTTATCTAGAGCTTATCACATTCCAGGTTCTTTACACAGGTTATCCTGTGTCAGCCCCAAGAGGTGCCTGTTATCAGCCATACTTTGAAATTAGGAAAGAGAAGCACAAAGGGTTTCAGGAATTTGCCAGGTTAGTAAGTATTGAAATCAGCATTCAAATACAGGTCTAACCCTTGTCTTTTCATTGTATCAATTTGCTACTGAGCTACTCAAGTCTCCTCTGGCGAGGGACAACTTGTTAAGTATTAATAACTCCTGTAAGGAGGAATAATCAAGAAGGATTATTCCTGGAATAATCAGTTCAAGGAATAATCAGTTCACCCAGGCCTCCCACTACCTCTCTGAGCTTCCGTATACTCATGTTAAACTGGAATATCAACGTTATTGAATTGCTGAGAAGACAGGAGATAATACATGTAAAATGCTTGGTGCAGTGCCTCACATATAGTAAGCTTTTAGTAAATTAACAGTCATTATTACTATCAAAAGCATATTCTGCTCAAGGAACAAGTAAAAATCTAAGGTTTTAACATACATGAAGTTATTTAATCATATTTATAATACTTGTAATGGACATATAGGTATCCATCATACTGTCTTAACTTTGCAACTCTTACATTTTGAATTGTATACTTTTTAAGGTATTGCTATCAGTAATGAATAGGTAGATGTTCATATTAAATTATACCTTCTTGAAAATAGGAATAATAATTTAGTCATTTTAAACTCTAAGTCTTTTGGAAATGAGTATAATCTTCCATAATTTAAGTGTAATGGCCTCTGTCATTACACAGCATGTCAGTATCATGGGAGCGGACACAGTCTTGGCCCCCAGCACCTATACTCTCTGGTGTGATGCATGTGAATATCTTGGTGTATTTGGCACCAAAAGGACTGCAGATGTAATTAAAGTTACCAATCAGTGTACTTCAAGATAGGGTTAGTAGCCTGGACTATTCAGGTGGGCCCAATGTTAGCACATGAGCCCTCAAAAGCAAAGCTTTCTCCTTGGCTGAGGGAGAAGAGGAAGTGAAAGAGATTCCAAGTGTGACAAGGACTCCACCTGCCACGGGTGGCATGAAGATGCAGGAAGCATGAAAAGGAAGGAAGTTCTGCCAACAACCACTGAGCTTGAAAGAGGACCCAGCCCTAGATGAGAACTGCATCTTTGGCCAATACCTTGATTTTAGCCCAGCGAGTCTCTAGCAGACAATCAAGTCATGCCTTGCCAGACATCTGATCTATAAAAATTTGTGTTGTTTCAAGCCTTTACATTTGTGGTAATTTGTTAGGGCAGGAATGGAAACTAATACAATCACTGAGAGGCAGGGCACAACGAGAGGTTAACTTGTTTCTTTGCCTATGTTAAGTTTCATAAGAACTAACCAATACTAAACAAGTAGAAGTAGAATTTGCAAAAACTGATTCTTGGAAATATATTCTTCTAATTCATCTAAATTATTCCTGCTATATTTAAAATTAATTTTCTCTTAGTTCTTTTCTCATCAGGGTCAATCACTCCTTGAGTCTGTAGTTAAATACACTTCAAAACCTCTCTTGACCATGTAATTTCCCTGCTTGGAAGCACTCCCTATTCCTGCTGGGCACATTCCAAATTCATGGTCTTGGTATTCAGGACCACTCACAGCTCTTCAAGTTCTTCGGAAGGAATAGCTGCACTTGTGCAACTCACTTTCTGAGAAAGATCAAGAACTAAGTTTAAAAGTGACCTAGAATTGATGTGTTTTAACTTTGGTATTTTCAAAAGGACTAATATATGCTGGTCCCTACTAAATCTCACATTTTATGAATCATTGCTCCAAAAATCTAAGGCTGTTTTGAATTCTAACTCCATTAACCAAAATGGTGGTCACCTTTAGTCACTCAATGCCAGAGTTCTTCTTTCCCTTAATTTATTTTGATAGATTTAGGGGGTGCAAGTGTTTTTTGTTATATGGATGAACTGTTTACTGGTGACATCAGGGCTTTTAGTGTACCCATAACCTAAATAGTATATGTTGTACCCAATAGGTAAGTTTTGATCTCTCGCCTCCCTTTCCAGCCTCCCTCCTTCTTAATTTCCAGCGTCCATTATACCACTTTATATGACCATATATACACAACATTTAGCTCCCACCTATAAGTGAGAACATGTGGTATTGGTTTTTCCTTTCCTTAAATACTTCACTTAGGATAATGGTCTCCAGTTCCATCCAAGTTGCTGCAGAAGACATTATTTCATTCCTTTTTATAGCCGAATAGTACTCCACGGTATATGTACATATACACCACATTTTCTTTATCTACTCATCAGTTGATGGACACTTAGGTTGATTCCATCTCTTTATAATTGTGAACTGTGCTACAGTAAACATTCGGATGCAGGTGTCTTTTTTAATTTTGGGTAGATAACCAACAGTGGGATTGCTGTATCAAATGGTAGGTCTACTTTTAGTTCTTTAAAAACTCTCCATACTGTTTTCCATGGGGGTTGTACTAATTTACATTCCCACCAACAGTGTATAAGCATTTCCTTTTTACCACCTCTGTACCAACAACTATTGTTTTTTGAATTTTTAGTAATGGCCATTCTGACAGGAATAAAGTGATATATCATTGCAGTTTTAATTTGCATCTCCCTGATGATCAGTGATGTTGAGAATTTTTTCATGTTTTTGCCATTTGTATATCTTCTTTTGAAAACAAATCTGATCATGTCTTTTGCCCACATTTTAATGGGGTTATTTGCTTTTTTCTTGCTGATTTGTTTGAGTTCCTTATAGATTCTGGGTATTAGTCCCTTGTCAGATGTAGAGTTAGCAATTATTTTCTCCCAGTTTATAGGTTGTCTATTTATTCTGTTGATTACTTCCTTTGCTATGCAGAAACTTTTTAATTAAGTCCCATTCATTTATATTTGTTGTGGCTGTATTTCCTTTTGGAGTCTTAATCATAAACTCTTTGCTTAGACCTATGTCCAGAAGAGTTTTTCCTACATTTTATTCTAGAATTGTTATAGTTTCAGGTCTTACATTTAAATTTTTAATCCATCTTGTGTTAATTTTTATATATGGTGAGAGACAAAGATCCAGTTTCATTATTCTGCATATGGCTATCCAACTTTGCCAGCACCATTTATTGAATAGGGCATCCTTTTCCCAGTGTATGATTTTGTATGCTTTGTCAAAGATCAGCTGGTTGTAGGTGTTTGGCTTTATTTCTAGGTTCTCTATTCTATTCCATTGATCTGTATGTTTACTTTTATACCAGTACCATGTTGTTTGGTTACTATAGCCTTGTAGTATAATTTGAAGTCGGGTAATGTGTTGCCTCCAGATTCTTTTTTTTTTTCTCCTTAGGATTGCTTTGGCTATTTGGACTCCTTTTTTTATTCCATATGGAATTTAGGATTGTTTTTATAGTTTTGTGAAAAATGATGTTGGTGGTAATTTGATGGGAATTACACTGAATGTGTACTTTGGGTAGCATGAACATTTTAACAATATTTTTGATTCTCCCAATACATGAGCATGTGATGTTTTTCCCATTTGTCTGAGACACCTATGGTTTCTTTCATTAGTGTTTTGTAGTTCTCCTTGTAGAGATCTTTCACCTGCTTGGTTAAGTATATTCCTGGATATTTTATTTTCTTTGCAGCTATTGTAAATGGTACTGAGTTCTTAATTTGACTCTCAGCTTGACTGTTATTAGTAGACAGAAATGTTATGATTTGTGTACATCAATTTTGTAACCTGAGACTTTACTGAATTTACTTATCAATTCTAGGAATCTTCTGGAGGAGTCCTTAGGGTTTTCTAGATATGAGAACATATCATTGGCAAACAGGGATAGTTTGACCTTCTATTTTCCGACATTTGGATGTCTTTTATTTCTTTCTCTTGCCTGACTTCTCTGGCTAGGACGTACAGTACTATATTGAATAGAAGTGGTGACAGTGGGCATCCTTGTCTTGTTCCAGTTCTTAGTGGGAATGCTTTCAACTTTTTCCCATTCAGTATGATGTTGGCTGTGGGTTTGACATGTATGGCTTTTATAATTTTAAGGTATGTTTCCTTTAGGCCTAGTTTCTTGAGGGTTTTTATCATGAAAGGATAATGAATTTTATCATGCTTTTTCTGCATCTATTGAGAAGACTGAGAATATGGTTTTTGCTTTTAATTCTGTTTATGTGGTGAATCACACTTATTGATTTGCATATGTTGAACCATCCTTGCATCCCTAGGGTAAAACCCACTTTATCATGGTGAATTGCCTTTCTGATGTGCTGTTGGATTTGGTTTGCTAGTATTTTGCTGAGGATTTTTGCATCTGTGTTCATGAGGAATATTGGTCTGTAGTGTGTGTGTGTGTGTGTGTGTGTGTGTGTGTGTGTGTGTGTGTCTTTTCCTGGATTTGGTAGCAGGGTGATACTGACTTCATAGGATAAGTTAGGGAAGATTCTCTCTTTC